CCTTCCCGCCTTTTCAACCCACCTCATATGCCCCACTACAGCTACCGTCCTTTCCTCTCTATTCCATCCCTCAACATCTCCCTATACTTCCCATCTATGTTTCCCAGCTCAGTCACGTACACTTGCCTCTCCGTCTTGTGCCACGGACATTCCGCGACTACGTGAACACGGTCTTCGCATTCGAAGCCACAATTTGAACTCGTCGTCTTCGTCGTCTACCGTCCTATATCTTCGTCGACGTTCTCGAAGGCCTATGTCCCCGGTCCTGAATTTGACCTTAAGCTTTGTTCCTGCATCCATTGGTCCATGTAGGTAATCCTTGAACCCTATTCCTTCCTTCAACATTCCGTACACTTCTAGACCCTCCTTATCCTTGGTTTCTCTCCTCAGATTCTGTTCTACTCTCTCGGCACAAGCAAATATATCTCTCTCCTTGAACCCCTGTAGACCCTCCGTTTCCAGCGTTTCATCTTCGCCGATGTCGAGCCCCTTCCATACGTCCTCTACAACCTTGACCCATTCCGTGGGTTGTCTACCCCTCTTTTTGTTTGCCCACTTCGCCTCCCATACAATTCTCGGCAACCTCTCCTCTCCCATCCCGCACATGCGATACTGCCAGGTCAGCTTCCTCGCGTCTCTTCCCGACCGTAGGGATTGGATCCCCAATTCTGCCCTCACGGCTGCATTACTTGTGCGCCTGGAGCATCCTAGGATGATTTTCGCTGCTTTCATCTGCGCCGCCTCAAGTTCTTTCACTACCTTCTAATTTCCTTTCCATACTTCTCCGCATACTCTAGCGGCGGTGCGATCTACGCTCTTCAAAACCGTCAATTTGATGCGTGTATCGAGGTGCCGGTTTGCGAGTATTGGGTGCAGCTTCCCTGCTCGTGCTTTGCCCTTTTCCGCTACCTTGGACATGTGTGCATTCCACGAGCAGTCTTTTGCGATCTCTACTCCAAGGTATGTGTACTGGTCCACTACTGCAATCTCCTCGATCCCCCACTTCCATATTTAATCTGCTGGTTCCTTCATGTTCTCATTGCATACCATGACGGCACTCTTCTGAACGTTGGCAGACAATCTCCACTTATCAGTAAACTTCTTCGCCGCGTCAATTTGCAGTTGCAGTCCCTCAGGGGTGTCCGACATACCGACAAAATCATCCGCAAACAGCATTCCTGAAACCGACGTTTCCGTGTCCCCTACTTTTACTCCCTTCCGGACTGCCTCTACGACTTCCAACAGATCGTTGATGAACACCTGGAACAATGTTGGGGACAGCGTGCAACCTTGTGGGACCCCCTGCTCAATGTCGAAGAATTTTGACAGTTCTCCGTCTAGCATGACCGCGCTTTTCGTACACTCTGTCATCTTCTTCAGCACTCTCCACATTTTCCCCTTGATCCCGTATTTGGACAGTTGTTTCCACAACCCATTTCTCCACACGGTGTCGTATGCCTTTTTCACGTCCAGGAAGAAGCAGTACGTCGGCTTTCCCGCCCTCTTTCTACCTTGGATGATTCTCCCTACCGTGAACACGTGGTCTACGCACCCCCTCTTCTTGCGGAAACCTG